TTTTTGTGAAGGGGAGACCGGCATAAGAGTTTCCCTTTGTTCTCGGGGGGGCGGAGATGATAAAAAGAAAAAGAAGGTGCGGGGAAAAGAAAAAAAAAAAAAAAAAAAAAAAAAAAAAAAAAAAAGGAAAAAAAAAAAAAAAAAAAAAAAAAAAAAAAAAAAAAAAACAAAGTATAAAAGAAGAAAGAATATCCAAGAAAAAGTGTGGAAAGTGTCAAGTACCCTCTTCACAGGGTCACCAGAGCAACAACGGCAACCAGAACAGCGAAGAAGGAACCATTCAGGACTCGCTCGTTCTGAGACGGAGCAGCGTTCTTGTTGGTGGTGGCAGAGGTCTCGCTGCCCTGGCTGAATCCGGTGGAGCTGCCACTGCTGGAGCTTCCAGAGGTGCTGGTACCGGAGCCGCTGCTGCCGCTCTGGGAATTGCCAGGCTCGTTTCCAGAGCCACCATTGCCAGAGGGGACAGTGTTGCTGCTGCTGCTGGTCTTGTTCGCAGATCCCGAAGCAGACGAGCTGGCGCCAAGGTCCATGTCAAGTCCGGTAGCGCCAAAGGAGGCGAGCACGGTGTTGTTGTTGGTGATTTGGACGGAGCTCTCGAGACCAGCGTTGTCCTTGAAGATGTAGGCTTTGCTTCCCTTGACATCAGCATCGCTGGGAGGGTCGTAGCATTCGACGGTGATTTCGCCAAAAGTGGCGTAGTAGTAACCGGCGTTCTTGATGTCCTCGCTATCCCAGCTGATCTGACCGCCGGCCCAGGCAATGGTACCCTCCGCGTTGCTCGCTTGACCAGCGGGCCACAGGGACAGCTGCATTCTGGAGGGCGTCTGGGGGTACATGTATTGCTTGCTTGTCTCGTTGTAGGTGGATTCCTTGGTCAGAGTTCTCTTCACCGCACCGTCGACAGACCATGTGATGGCTTCGGGCTTCCAGTCAATCGTGTACTCGTGCCACTCGCCAAAGGTGTCACCACCAGGGACGGATGCGTTTGCGCCGTTGTTATCTGGGGGAAAAGAAAAAATATGAGTTAAATAGCCAAAATCGTGATCGGGTATCTGCCATCGAACTTACAGTCAAGAACGCCCTGGAAGTAGTAGTTAGTCTGAACATTGGTCAGATCAGCACCGACGAACTCGTAGTCGATCTCGTCCTTGGTATCTGACAGCAGAATGAAACCGGTGACCACACCAGCGCCACGGCTGCTCTTGATCTTGGCCGAAATCTTGCCGTACCAAAGGTAGTGGTTGTTCGCGATCAGGGTGCCGACGCTGTTCTTGGGCATGGTGAGCAGGAGGTTTCCATCCTGAACCTTGGGATAACCGCTGTAGACCCAGTCGTATTTGGTGGCATTGCCCAGGTACTTGGTGTTCTCAGCAGCGCTGTCGAGGTTCGACCAGTCGTTGTAGGTCTTGCTCTGGCAAACGGGTTCAGGGGTACAGGAGTCGAGGGAGTAGGACATGAGAGGATCGCATCCGCCCAAGCAGTAAGCGCCTGTACCACACTGGCCGTACACTGAAGTAGAGGCATCGTTAGGTTAGGACTGAGGCAACAAGAGGCAGTCTGGACTTACGAGAGCAGCAAGGCCATTCTTCAGGGCAGTGGGAGTCTTGGCTGCAAGATGGAGGATCGGAGGAGGCCGAGGCCGTTGTGGCAGCCAGAGTGGCCAGGAGAAGCGAAGAGGCGATGCGCACCATGGTGAGTGATATTGTACAAGAGAATGGATATGTACAGAGACGGGAAAAAGATTGTGTATAGACAAAGAAAGATCACCAGCAGGTGAATGAATGAGGGGTCTGTGAAGAAGAATCAGTAATGCGAAGCACAGAACCCTTTTTTGATTACAATTTTTGTAGGATGCGTGTGGGATATGGGTTCTTTGATGAATGGAACGTACCAAAATATTGAGCGAGCGTTGAACCAGACCCAGAGACAGAGAGGAACGGAGTGGAACAGTGGGCGATGATATGGAGAAGTATGCAAATAGGCTGGCGAATATAAGCGCAATCAATATGACGCACCAATCAACGAAAGGCTGCGGTAGATTTCAACGAGAGGGGAATCAGGAACCGCTGGAGAATAAGGGGGGGAAGAGGAGGAGGAAAAGAGGTAGAATAAGAAGAAAAGCGAGTGTGGTTCTTTTCCTTTGTCTCTCTTGTGGTCTTTGTCGACTTTTGTCTCCGGAGCGATCAGTACTACTACCGATAGTGATAATCTTCCGACAGACCAAGAGGAGGAAAAGGAGAAGCGATCAGAAGTCGGGGGGCGGATTTTAAATAATAGGTAATATTGATAAATCAAATAATTTAATAAGTGATGATAATAATAATATAGTTTAGAGACATCAGAAGATAATTGGTCCTTGGATCGACTATCACTTGTCTGTCTGCACGAATCGACTTGTTCTCCGTGAGTGAGTGTCGCTACTAGCCGACCGTTTCCATACAGCTTCAAGGCATCTGGAGTTGACCCTGAACAGGGTCCGCATTCGGTTGATTCCATTCCATTTACATTAACAAAGAGACAATGACCTCAGCCATCCGGATCATCTGAGCACGAAATTTCGAGAACAGTCAAGTCAGTCCACTAAGAATCAGGATATTCTCATTAGTAGTACTACTACCTAGGTATTATTGCCGCTGATAAGCTGCCCTGAAAGTGTCTGGAGTAAATATTTAATGGCCTTTGTAATTACAATACAAAGTCCCTGGCCCACAGCCACCAAAGTCAATTCTGCCTGCTCAGCCAACCGATGGGCAAGGACACCTCATTACTATGAGATTTTAGATTTCATAGCGCTGCCCTCCAATCTCCAGCAGTCCTTGACAAATAAGTCTTGAGGCTGTTACCGTTGAAAATTGGGCTGTAGCCTGTACCTTAGTTAATAGTAGTGTATGGTAAAGTATTTAGGTGGAAATGAAAGGTCATAATTATAAAAATCCCTCCAAGACAAGCACGGGACCAAAGGCGACACCAAAGGAGACACCCGACCACTGAGAGAAGACTTCCAACTTGTCTCACTCCATATGCGGGACTAATCACTAGGTACCTAAGCTAGAGGAGAACAGACAAACCCCTCAGAAAACAGATTAAATCCATCCACTGCACCCACATTTCATATTCTGAATCGATGAACTGCTCTGAGCCAATCAGATGATCTCTTCAAGATAGGAGCGTGTCTTTGATATCATATGATATGAACTGTTGCTATGATATTAATATGAACACTCTTAGCAGACTGCTACTTATGGCAATGCAGATGGTAAAAACCAGCTTCACCTCAGTCCTCTTCTTTACACGCAATCTAAAGACACCCAGAGTGTTCGATTTCTTGGACTCTTGGTTGGCTTCTTGGTTCCTCCTTGGAAGACCGACAACCGACCGACTGGCGACTTGGTATGGGTTGGTGATGACAAAGAGAAAAGATAGCACTTGCCAGCGGTAGAGTTACTCTAACTCTACGAAAGAAACATGATGATGATAGTCGACTCTTGAGTCTTGACAACCCAGAAGTGTGACAACTCAACATGAAGAATTTATTTTTAGATTGCCACAAATCTTACTTCTTGCCACCAAAGTCAGTCCCATGCGCTCATTGGAATGCAGCAATTATGGCTGCTGACGGGGTCCGAACACAACCAAATACTAGTGCGAAGAAGGAAACAATTCGAGTCTCCAACCATGGACTTTTGATCAGTATGTAACCAAGTTCGACTACACACCTCTTACTCAGTATACAGTGATGCATTATCATCTTTACCCTGATTGTCATCCTTCATGGTGATAATGCTAGAGATGCTGGCTGGAGTCTGACAGTAATGATACATCACAGTTGATTTACCCCTTTACTTACAACCATCCCAGCATGAGTTTCACAGCATATACGGAGTACTCTCCCTACTCCAGTCAACAAAAGAACTATCAACAGCAGTATTCTAGACCTCCAGACCTCACAACATTACTTATAGCCCCTCCCACGTACAACAAACAAACAGAAACCGTAACACAGGGCCATACTTCCAGACTTCCATTCAACCTTCCATACATATCATGGAACAATCTTCTTCGGCTGGGGGCCTTGCGGACTAGGCACATTCCAATAGACATCATATCAACGCCATATCTGAAACCTGTCAGATGGCATTGCCAGTTAACTCATCACAGATACTATTCTATTCCACTTGACGATGATCATTGCTGGCTGCATCATATTGTAAGAAGCGTACGTGTGCTGTCTACGACACACATGCCATGAACCTTCCCATGCAAGGGGATGGGTACTGCTGCAGGTACTCCATAGAAGGGATGGTGTATTCTGAACTTGCATGCGTTCATGGTTCATATTATCTAGGTAGTGGTCACTAGGTAGTCATGATGTAGGCAGCTCAGTCAACATCCAGCCAACAAAGCTATTGATCGACTTGATCGTTGATTGATCGTCGCCTTGAGCAATGTAGATGAAGACGGATGTTCCCATAGCACTAACCTGATACTCCCATGCACTTTGTCCCTTCTACCCGTCCATCATAATTTCAGGTGAAAGTTGTTGAGTGGCAATGTTGAAGTACCACGTAAGTGAAAGATAGCCTAAGATACAGTTGAAAATTCATGCCATGACAGGACATTCTGGCTCAATCTACTGTGGGACAACCCCTAGCTAAACACCGCTTGACTACATTGCCATAGGCTGATTTGAACAGGGGCGGCTAGTAAATTGATGTCGACCTCACCGAGATCGAACGCTTCGTTCCCTCGATACCAGCATCGGCAGCTTCGTCGTTAAAGGACCATCCGTGTCGTGCCCCCCATCGCCACGTTTTCCCACTGGTCCTCTCTATGGAGAAGTTCCAACTCGTGAACAAATTGCCCTTGCTTGTCCTTGTTCTCTTCTCGACTCCTGATATATCCACTTCATTCCCTCGCATGAATTCATTCCGTCAGTATCGGCGGCCATGTCATGGCCTTTTCCTCCGCCGCTCCGCCAGGGCGATACAATAATCCCATGATCAGCGCATGGATTTCTTGACGAAGTTCAAGTTCTTGGCAAAGCCTGGGCGTGCTGTATCCTTGACCAAAACCAACTCCTTTTCGCAGGGATCCGAGGAGTAAGTCACCGAAACACCACTGTAGACAGCACGGGTGTCTTTCCACTTGTTGAAGGCCTCCAGGACTCTGCGAGCAACGGCAGTGCTTGTGAACACGGCAGTAGCTATGCTATAGTTAGGTTTCGCCCGCATTCAGGGAACCACAACATGACACAGCTTGGAGTCACTCACCATTTCCAGAGTTGAAGACCCAGAGGAAGTCGATGTTGCCGAGTCCAGCGACGGCACGAATGTCCGACTTCCATTTCTCCGGCGACATGTTATCGGCAAAGAGCCTCTTTCTTGCGAAAGACAGGCGCCGACGCTCTCGGATGGGCTGGTTCATCCGACGGTGATCATCGTTCCAATCGATGATCTCGGCGATCTCGACATTGTATCCGGTGCCAAAGCGTCCGTATCCGAGCATCTCCTCCATCTCCTGGTTCGACTTCACAAAGGCAAGTGCATGAGAGGCATATTGAAAGGTGACTCGGGTCCTTTCGTTCGTCTCGACCCGAATTTCCTGCAGGGGACCTTCGTGGATACGGGTGGTGATGAAGCGGATCGCCTCCCTGGCGACCCTGCCGTAAATACGTACGACGCCCGCTTTGGCTTCAGCTATCTCTGGTGAGAGTGCTGCCCCCGAGAAATCCATGGCTCTCGGATCATTCTCGCCATCAATGCTGTGACTCTGCTTGGATCCGGAAACAGACGACATTGACATAGGCGACAGGTAGTGCAATGTTTCCTTTGGTTGGCACTGAACCTTCGCCATGGACCCGGCAATTTGAGCCCAGCTTCCAGCTCTATTGCCGTGACCCCTGGCCGGCTCTTTGTTCTCCTTCTCAACCTCATTCATAAGAGCAGCAACAGCTTGCTTCTGGATTGTGTCATGACGCATGGTCTGCTGGGTTTCGGCACCCACGATCCTGGTAGGGAGCTATTGCGTGTTAGCTTTTCGACCATGTAACAAGATGACCAGAGGCTACTTACCCCGTCATCGAGCACGTAGTCGCTATCTGGAATATGCTCGATTCCCTCAGAGAAGGCATTGACGACCATGATGCTCAACTTTCCCAGTTCGTTGGCTGGCTTGTGTTGCTCATGCTTGCGGAACTGCCATCATCAGTTTGCCAACCCCATTACCTCCATGGTGCGAGGCTTACGTGACAGGCAATGCGATTCAGATGGCCCAAGGCCTCAGCCATGGCCCCATCAATGGTATACACCGCCATTGTCGGTAGGATCGAGATATTGAGCCAGTCTGTTGGAGATTCCCGGTTGTGATGAGAGATGTGTCTGTACTTTAGATTGCAAGCTCCGTATCCTGTTTTCAATGAGGTCAATGTTAGACACAAGTGCAGGACAGTGAGGCCTTTCTGAGCTATCAGGGTTACTCACTGCTTAAGCTCTGAAAAGGGTTAAATGAGGCTTCAGAGGACAGAAGACTGTAGGGTGATAGCTAGACGCTGAACTGTCAGAAATACAGCCAGCTGAGAAGGTGAGGCAAAGATTGATGCAGATGGCGGTGCTCTTTGTATTAATGACAGACAATGTGAGCTGAGTAGAGGTAAATAAAGGAAGTTGAAGATGAACAGAGGGTATTTGCTGTGTCTCAAAGGACTCTTTATGCTCTCAGTGTTACTCTGTGAGGAAGGTGAACATTACTCGCGAGTATTTGAGCATCTAGGTTGATAAATAAGCCCTCAGAGCCTGGTTTGATTCTGAAAGAAGTAGAGATGTAGAGAAGAGGAATAGAGGAGGCTGGAGCAAGTGAAAGAAAGAAGAGAAAAGTAAGGGTAGGAAATGATCCTAGGTATATTCTCTCTTAGAGAAGTGAAGTACTGTGCTTGAGTAATGAATAATTCTATTAAAGCCATCATATCCTACTATTATGCACCCTAGAAGATTCTAATACCCTTCCTCTATGGATCTAATATAACTACTAAGTATAATTAGGATTAAAATCCATATCTTTACTAAGTGATTTTATAATCTCCTTAGATGTTAACCATTTTCTCGCGATATAAGTCACTGTAGGTTGAGTATTAGAAAATCTAGTGAGAACCTCTTACTTCATTCATAGCACACTAAAACACACTTTACACCTAGTAACAGTAGAAGCCCGTACCTTCTGACTGTTGATGCTTGATTATCTTGAGTATTTGTGCGTACTGACCTGCCTTGCCATCCGCAACTTCCTACACTTACATTGCAAGTCTCTGATATTGTTCTCGGAGGCTGCAGAAAACTTCGAGCAATTTCAAAGTCAATCCAGGAAAGAGGCCTCAACTTTCAATAAATTGTATGGCCATATACTGACTTTCGATTGGCCTAAAGGATACACGCCTGCGGTTGGACTGCGTGTACAAAAGAACAAGTCGTGAAGGTGCGAGTGTTCCCATTTGAAGCAAGAACAAAATTTCGAGACGAAGATGAAAGTACTCGAAAAAAATATGAACACAGATGTCACTCATTGAGATTCTATTATATGGTATCTAAATTTTGACTGATAGTCAAGAGAGGGGAGGGAAGTTTCTCACAAAGCTATACGAGAACGAAATCAGCAACAGATTAGAATCAACGGATGTATCTAGTTCGGAACTTACTGAGCAGGACATTCGTAGCCCGATGGGTTCTTGGTTAGGTAAAGCTGGTGGTACTCCTCGGCATCCCACCACTGGCCTGCAGGTATAATCTGCGTTGTGACAGGCTGCTTGTACCACTGCTTGGAGACTTTATCCGTGATTTCCTCCGCGATCTTGTGCTGCTCCTCGCCATGTGTGAAGATCGCACTGCGGTACTGTGTGCCGACGTCAGGGCCCTGGCGGTCCTTGGTCGTGGGATCATGCATGCGGTAGAAAAATTCCAACAGGGAGCTGTAGCTGACGACCGAGGGGTCAAAGGTTAATTGAACAGCTTCGGCATCTATCACATAAAGAGAAGAATGTGAGCCTCTCATGACTCTGACCAACGAATACCAAAGGAAGGCAACAACATACGGCCAGTATTTCCAGTGCACACAGCTCGATACGATGGGGAGGACGTCGATCCACCACAGTAGCCTACTTTAGCTTCGACAAGGCCTTTTCCATTGCCAAAATGCTTGCGGAACAGGTGCTCAACTCCCCAGAAGCAGCCCGCGGCCAGTGTTGCTTTTTGCGTGTTGTCGGACATGTTCCGAGATGCCGATTCAGAGGTCAAGGAAAGGAAAGGAGAGCTAGTCGAGAACGGACGAAAGAACCGTGAGAACAAAGTCGATCTAACTGCGGGTGGAACAAATGCCATCAATCAGATGGAATACGTACTCGAATAATCAGGGAGTCGGACCTTGGAGATAGAAAAATTTCTGAGGGAGGGGCAAAGGCGGAATGTTGCGATTGCGGGGTGTGATGATGGGTCAAATGAGGACAAAAGGCGAGCTTGAAGTCCTCCTTTCAGTAGATATTGGACTGTTGTGAGACAAGAGACTCACAATAAGAAGGCAATTGAACCTCTTTATAGAACGTCTTTATCATTAGAAATCCACCATGGCTTCGTCGACGCTTAGGTAACTGGCGTCATTTGACGCAATGACATAATCGAACTTCAGCTCTCCACACGAGATCTGGGGTATAGATAAGTCGATGACATATGAGGGCATAGCGAACAAGAGCCATCACGGGAAGAGCGACAAAAAGCTTTCAGAATTATCTCTCAATCTTTCGAGTCTCGAAATCCGCGCGTATCGTACAAAAAAGAGCTATCGACATTGAAAAAAAGAACAAGTTTACACCAGGTGTTCCCATTTTCTCTCGATGGGATGGGCTTATCCTCGGCCATGCATTGGTAAGTCGAAAAAGGCAAGATTCCATGTAAAGATGTTTTGGACATTGAAGAAGAAGAAGAAAAAGAAAAAGGAGGAACAAGAGCAATGGTATCTGTCGTCCTGAACACCGTCCCAAGTACCCGATATCGCCAGCAAGTAGCCAATATAAGTCAACATTCAACGTGCTACCTCCATCCTGCTCCAGAGCTAGGGTAGAGAGTCTCCGGGGGCCGCTCGATGCTTGGAGCGGCCATAGTACTAAGTCTTATAGCGTCTCTGCTTGTAAGACTGATATCTCGGGGCCGAATGTCACCTCCGAATGTGGTTCGTCTATGACTCGTGCTTTTCATGATTGGAAGAGTTCGAGGACTCAAAACCCTAGGTTTGGGATCAAGCTCTTTCTCACTTTTGACCATCCGCCTGGCCTGCGATGCGGTAAACATTGTGTTTTCGCTTGGAGAGCTTCCATAGGTTGCAGATGTCGGACTTCGTCGGCGGTGGATGCGGAGGGAATTGGTAGAGGCACCGGAGCCAAATTGTCCGCCAGAAATTCGTCTCATTGCTGAAGTGATCTTAATGGCATCATCCTTGCTGGCCTTCCAGCTATCCTTGGTGTCGGACAGTGGGCTGCTGGAGTAACTTCCGCTGGATGTTCGGACTGCGATTCGAGATGGACGGTCGATAGAGCTTCGATTCAAGAAACTGCTGTTTTCAATGTCTCGCAAAGGTGAATTCTCATTGTCAGATAGCGGGAGAGTAGAGGTTGGAGGCGGCCCCCCGGGCGAGCTGCCGGGTTTCTTTGACAGGAATCCCGCCTTAAATCGATTGTTCTTTTGAACGTGCAGCGTTGGTTCATTAGAAGGAGGCGGGACCGGAGAGGAGCCAAAAGGACTGATGTTTCGGCTGGGCACAGGAATTCCGCGTGGGATTGGAGAGGTCCGGGGCAGTGTGGGCTCACTAGGACTTTCTTCAGGGATAGTCTCAGTGGCTGGTTTTTGAGGTGTCTTTTGATACTCCGTCAAGGCACCATCTTGCTCGTCGTCCTTCCAGCGGACACTCCTCTTCGTTATTTTTGCCTGTGTCTTCTTCGGCGAGAAACTGACACTCTTCCTTCCGGCACCCACTTTACGTCGTCGTGGGGATCCCTTCGTTGGTGATGCGGGGGCCGCGGGAGTAAATGTTATTGGTGCCCCTAAGCCTTTCACCGCGGGGAAATGAGCTACGCTCGATCTCCTTTTCTGCTTGGGAGAGCTAGGCTTCAATGGACTGAGTGGTTGAGCAGGCAGTAGTGTGCCGTCCGGTTTCACGACATTGGTGGCGACGTTAGCTGACGAGTTGAGCATCTTCAGAAGAATCTTTTTGCCCATTTCCACTGCCTCCTCCTCGCTCAGGTGCATTGTCTGCTCAATGGAGGCAATAGCCTCAAATTGAGCTTGGAGAAGAACTTGAATTGTTGCTGCCTCGCCTGCCTTGTCTTGCTCTGCCACTGCGGACAAAGCCTCTCGCTCCGCGTTTGACCGGAGGAGCTCTGCCTCCCGATCGAAATTGGCAAAGTCGCTAGTGTCGCTATTCTCAAAGTCTCTGAGTTGACGGATGGCGTTCTCTACAGCAGAGTTCATAGCTCGGTCCCAGTTATTCTTCGCCAGTCGCTGGTGATAATGTTGTCTACTACCCTCCAGTTCGAGGAGAATACCTTGCGCCGTTTTGCGAATCGCTTGGAGACTGGATAACGGTTCCTCGTTTTCGGAGTTTGCGCACACCGCGTCGAAAGCAGCAATCCATGAAGACAAAATGCCGATCCTGCGGCTTACCTGCTTCAATTTGATCATATTATTGATCTTCTCTTGCCTTTCTGGCAACGAGTGATCATATGCATTGCGAATACGAGAAACACCTTCCCGGATCGCTGCGTCTTTCTTTTCGGTCTGCTTCTTGAACTTTGCGAAGGCCACTTTTTCAGATTCCTTCTGCTGAGCTTTGAGCTCATTGATCAGGTTCATTTGCTCATCGATCTTCACCAAGAAATCTTTCACATGGCGGTTGACATTGAACACGTTTCGCGTGACCTTAGTCTGAATATTTTTCGCCCGGTTTGCGTAGCGAAGAGTGTTTTGTGTCTCATCGAAGTGTTGGCTAGATGGGCTAACGCACACAATCATCACTGTCCTACAGTTGCCGCCCAGGGAGAATTTCAGAAGACGAGTCAGCTTCGAGTTTCGGTAAGGAACGTGGTTGCGCTTTCGAGGGTCGCAGAGGGCGTTGATACAGCTGCCTAGCGCGAGAAGGGACTTGTTGATATTGGCTCCTTCCAGTAGCCGCTCGCCCCTGTTCTTAGTGGCACTAGCTCGCTCGCTTCCCGCAAGGTCAATGATGCTCAGTGTTGCCATTGTATGTGGTTCGTTGACATCCGCGTTGCGATCTTTCTGGGCGATATTGATCTGAAGAACTGCATGCGACCGAGAGGAAGTGGCATTGGCTTCCGTTGGCGACATTGTTCGGCATTCGTTGCCCCGCATAATCATGTCCATCACCTGCTGTACGTTTTGCGGGTGGTGGCTCGATAGCCCAGAGACAGAAACCGACTTATTCGAATCCTCGCGGAGCATCAAGCCCCCTTTGCTGCCGCCAGGGACTAGAAGATCACGAATTGTTTCGTTGTAAATTTCCAGGTATGAAAGGGATACTTCGGTGTGTTTCTCTCCTGACCGCTCCTCGATTCGCTCGAATAACTCCTGCATGGTAAGGAAGATGATACCGGGCTGTTGTGCTGTGCCGGTGATTGTGTGCGTCTTTCCACATCCGGTGGCACCGTAAGCAAAAACCGTGGCATTGTAACCGTCAAGTACGCTGTCTAGGAGGGTTCGTGTAGTCGCTTCATAAACCTCACCCTGTGTGGCGTTTTGGTCAAAGATCCGATCGAAGGCGAATGTCTGGTCCTTGACGCGTTTTCCGTTTGGCACGACGCTTCTCGAGAACTTCTGAACTGGATTGTCTTCCGGAGGATCGAAGACTCTTTGAGTATCGTCAGTTTTTTCTTGACTTGATATCCTGGTCCACAGTTGCACTCACAAGCATCTGTCATCGATGACCTTGATGATGGACCGGATCCCCTTCTGGTTGAGCTTGGGAGTTGGTGCTCCGGCCAGGGAGCCATCTCCGAGGAATAGGGGCCCGTCTTCACATTTTGGAAGCTGTGCTGCCTCTCGAATTGTAAAAGGTCGGACTCGAACGGTGACAGTAATTGATGAGGAGCCGCCTACGGCTGCCATGGCGTCTATATCTTAGCGTCCCTCCAGGTTGGGCTGGGGAATTGCAGTCGAAGACAGGAAATGAGTGAAGGGTGAATTTCGCGTATCCCGCGACGCCCTGCACCCTTCGGCCACTCGGAGGATTATGGAGAGAATGAGGTAAGAAGAAGTTATCAATAGAGAAATAAGTGTCGAGAGTCTACAGCTGAGGAATGTTGACAGTCCTGTTAGACTGTTCCTGATTGAGTTATTCCCCCGTGATTTGTCTTCTTCACGTCAAAGCTGTTGACTTCTGGTTGTTGTCCACGTTGCGTTGCTCCGAGCAACCATCAGCGGTATCGATTAGCGTAATAGCGCGTGTGCTTAGCTATTCTCGCCAAATTCTCCCCTAATCATGCAGAGAAACGCAATCACCACAATGCTTCTTCTTTATGGCCACACACAACTCTATCATGATTGGCTGATAATCACTATTCGGAGGGATTGGGACCACACTCGCTTTCGGAGGTGCCTTACCATGAAATAGATAGCCACAGCCAGAAGACTTCATCATTATCGAGTTTACCCGGATGGGTGCAATTTGGAGATCCCATACTACACTAGACTCATCTTGCCCCCCCCCTTT